CATCCTTCCTACATCCTTAGTACTTTCTCCAGGTTGGTTTTATGTACTTAAGGCGATAAAATGTTCTTGTTTGGAGGCTTTAATGCATTGTAACAGATCTCACATTTAGGAAGTTTTCTCTAATGTCTTCTTTTGCTATTTCTTCTGCCACACCATGGATTTTCTGGCACCCTAAAAATTCCCTTTGCAAGGAGATGGTTAAAAACCAAAATGATTGTCAAAATAGATGGGCTATTAAAAAAAGCCCAGCCTTTCACATCAGAAGCCTTCCTAATGCCAGCTTACAAAAGCTCTCTATTAGTCGGTATCTTCTCCTCATTAGCCTCAATCAAACTTTACTTGGAATCACCTCCCCCTGTGCCACCTCCTTCCCATCCCTTGCAAATGAGGATGGGCTCACATTGTAAATTGTGAGTTTAACTCCAGCTCCATTTCATCCCTCCAAACTGCAGGACAAGGACCCATTTCTCAGAACTTACAGTCAGCACTATTAGTCCCTGGGTATGGTATTAGCATATCTGGGATGATTTAGGAACAATGAAATCCCTGTGCCATCAAGCTAGGCAATTCTTCTGCCACACATGATCCTGCAACTCAATATTCACTAGGTGCACTCCCTGAAATTCAGCCCCTTTTCCTTTCTTGTTCCTTTCCATACCACCCATGGCAGGGCTCGGCTGGCAGGAGGAACATACTGTCACTTTTTCCAACTATAACTGAGCTCTAGGAATGCAAGATGATAACTGCTGCAGGAGGAAATTATCCTGAAACTCAAACCTGTTAATCCAAGGGCATTGCACAGGAAGGAGCAGGGACAGGAGTGTGTCATTCTTTGGGAATCCTCCCAATACAATCTACTTCACTTGTTCTCATGGGGCTTTGAGCTCAATCCACTTTAACTTGAAAGCAAAAGCACGCTCAGGGGAAAGGTGGTTCTGATTAAGATAAGTGACCCACTGGCCAGCAACTAGCTCATACTAACTTCTACTTGGTTTTAATCATCACTACTTTGGGGGAGTCCTTTATCATTTCTCTATAATCTAAATATTCTTAAGACCCCAGCAAAAGTCTGAAGTGTTTGGAAAACAAGAATCATCTGCAGGCTCACTGGAAGCCTGCCAAAGGTTTCAGCACCAGTAAGAAGTTGGCCACTCTTTGCAATCTCACCTATTAAAAGGCAAATAAATGCTAACAGCAGTTTGGGTCTATTTCCCAGGCAATTTGTGCTGAAATTAAACTGAGGAACAGTTTAGTAGCACAGCCATTCTGCATGGATTTAAACCATACTGATACATGACTACTTCTTTGAGGCCTGATAAGGAACACTGAACCTACTCATTCGTGTTGCCAGCAGTGACTCTGGATCCTGGATGTGGCTGTTTCCCTTTGCAGCTGCAACTCCAAGCAAGATTCCCCTGGCATATTGCATCAGACTTCTAGTTCTCTGTACATCTCTCGTGAAAGTCAAGTTTTTCTGTAAGATGGATAAAATGAAGGTGGGAAAGGTATCAGACAGCAGAACAAGAAAAATTATCATGTCAATTGACAGCAAGTGTTCAGAACTGGGGTAATTAGTAGAAAGACAAAAAGCTTTTGTGTCTTATTTAAGTACAGGATTCATCTGATGTATCCAGCACTGCCTGAGAGCCTGGCACAGCTTGCAAGGTGTACAGTATCCAGCAAAAATGAAGCAATAGAGCTTTCCAAACACTACCAGGATCCAGCTTACTTGCCCTTTCAGGACACCATTGCTGGTCCTTGTGATGCCAACGCTGGAGAAGTATTGAAGAAGAGAGGACAAATAAAATGGAGGATGATGTCTTCTATAACAGATTCCTAGAGAGGATCCTTGAGAAAAGCTCCAGAACACAGCTGAGCTCTGACCACTGTTTGGCTGCACATCTGGTACTTGTGTTTTTACATCAAGCTACTGCAATCCACGGTCTTTCCCAACCATCAGAGCTGCAAGCAGGAACTGGTTTTGTGCATTCCCGGGAGTTTTTCTAAATGCTCAAATCCTCAGCTTGATTTAGAATAGGATGCTCTCTGCCTTTTAAGCTGGAAAATAATTGCACATCACTGCATAGCAGTGGTACCCTTCAACAGCAAGTCCTTGGGTAGTTTTTCAGGTTAGCTTTGTTTCCACCGAACACTGATGGTCTCCGGTTTTTGTAAGCTCAAACAGACAGGACAAAGCACATGCTAATGTAAAGACCACCTGACAGGCTGCTTTTCAAATGCACCCGGCAACATAAATCACATTCCCAGCAGATACACAGAGATGATTTTCCATGTAAAATGATTACAATTTAACAGAAAAGCTTATTTTTAGCTTCAGGCATTCTGGCAGCTGGAGATGCAGATTTGTGGCTATTCTAACCACGAAACATGCACGGATTGCAGCACAGCCTTGTCTGCTCTTTAGCTTTTAATTTACAGAACTAATTAGTTGGATTTACTGTCTTTAGCATCCTTTACCCTCTATTTGCTTCAGGAGACACAGATGAGCCCTGCATGTCAAGTCAAGCCCAACAGGCCAAGAATTCCAGCGCAAGGGCACATCCAGCAGGAAACAGCTTGGATGTGGAAGAACTTCAGCCCTTGCAGCACTCAATACAGGTGTCACTTCAGGGCAGAGCAGAGACAGGCAGAACCCCCACCTTGGATCATCTGGGTGGGTTAAAGCTGCTCTAGTGACTTTTACATATATGGAGGAAAGGGGATGTTCTGATCAACAAGGAGATTCCAGACCTGGATAAAGGAAAACTACAGTTTTGCAGCAAAATTGAAAGGATCAGTACTTTCCAAAGCATATTATCGTATCAGCATGAAGTAACATGCGTGGCAAAGACAGTAAGGCAGCCAATTCAGTACAGCTGAGACGTAGGGAGGTTTAGAAGTTCCCTGTTAGCAGTAAAAGACATGGTGGAGTAACTACAGAGGGACTTACGTGGCAGTCACCACGTAGAACACTCATTTTCCTGCTGGGCTGGAGAAGGCATCCTGTACAGGACAGCACCGCATGGTGCTAGACTTCCAGGCACTGAAAAGATTAAGTAGTAGTTAAGCACTAAGTTCTTCAGCAAACAGCAACCCTGCAATTACACTTCATTAGCAGTACTTGGATTTAATGACTAGGGGATGAAGAGGCCTTCCAACCACAGAGATGTTTGCAGGGAACACCATGGCATTCCAGCTGGCAATGTGGCCAGTGGCAACCCTTTCCAAACCCCATCCATTGGCAACTCGTCACTCTCTTTCTAGAAGCCCAACAACGTGTGGCTCTACAAACTTTCTGATTTAAAACATCTAAAGATCACAGCGTCACACAGGCTGTCCCCAAGTCTTGGATCATTCCACAGCCTCAAGGCTCAGCTCCCTCTGGTACTTAAGAATTCAGACTCGCTGGAGATCCAGAGCTCAAACCCACCACCAGTCCCCCTCTCGCTCTGGTGCCTGAACCACTCATGCTCCCTACAAAGTGGTTCTTCCACAGGATGAGGTGGAGCAACATCTTGGTTTCCCAAAGCCTTTCTCCCAACTCCTGGACCCACTTTGCCGCCACATCTCAACCCCTGGGGCTTCTCACAAGCTGCATCTCTAGAAGGCCCTGGACGGCAACAACATTGCCTGGTCCACTCCTGGGGAACTGTGGCCTTTTGGCAGCCACGGTTGTCCATCACTGCTTGCTCAAGCAAGAAGGTGGGATTGCTGTTGGCCACTTCGGTGGGGTATACACAAAATTCTTCATCATGGTTTTTCTTACATTTGCTAAGGTGAATACAAGACATACCAGCTACAACAACGTGAGATGGAAAGCAGTTCACAGCAGTACAGCTCAAACTGGCTGTTTTCTAGGCTACTTCTAGCACTCTGGACACTGAGATTTCCTGGCTGTGACACTCCGCCCTGATCCTTTCCATTGGATTCCCTCTGAAAACAGCACAGGTTCAAACAGGTCACTGAACTTCCTCAAGAACAGACACTGAAATCCCAGAAAAGACCAAGCAAAGATGGAAAAAAATACATCTAAAAAGTGACTGCAGGAGACACTGACACATCAGGGCTTTTGGTCTGGCTCTGCTCTATCGTACAAGTAGTGGCAATAAAAATGGTGCATTTTTACTCCACAAATCTTGTTTCCTCCTTAGTAACTACCACAGCAAAGTCTGTATTTCATTAGCAGAAGCAACAATATTCAAGCTTAAGTGGAGAAACCTAACACATCATCACCAGTAGGGAGCTAGTTCTGGTTCCACCACCAAGAAAAGCATATCCCAATTCCTTTTCGGCTGCAGCAACTGCAAGGTTGCTGTGTTCTTCCTTATTTTGTGTAGACATTAATGAAGATCATTTATCACTTACGTGCTCCATTCTGGGCCTCCCAGTAAGTCTCAAAACATCCTGCAGCGATCTAGTGTTTCAGTAAGGAAAATGTTGCCTTTCACTTAAGCCCAAATTAATTATCTGAATTAAAGATGCTTAAAACAAATTATTGGCCATTAGCAAAGCATTGCGCAAGTACAACCACGTACACAGCAAGTATTCCTCTGATGTTAACCACATCAGAGATGAAGTAAAAGCAAAGAGGCATTAGAAAGGCATTGAGAACAGTCCAAGCCAAACCGTATCCAGCTTTATTAAAGGTACTTTTCATAAACAATCATGGTAATTTAGGCAGGACATGGGCTACAATCTGCAACATTTTACAACAACTGTCAAACTCCCCTCCCTCCATGGACTACCAGAACGTAAAAGTTGCTATAAAACCGAAGAATCTTCATTTCATACTTGGTAGAGGGAAAAGTTTAGAGTGAGGGTGGACGCTTTCACATTTAGCATGTTGTTTAACAACTCTTCACAAACCTACCCTGACTTTCAGAGGAAAACAAAACTTAAAATGCAGCTTTCTTAATCTGAAGATCCACAATGTAAAAGAGGAAGCGCAGCTCCTGGCAGAGCTGTTGTACCCCGAACTGGACACCCTGACAACACACTGGGTGGCAAGTCCCAAAATGCCGGTTTTGCTGTTGTTTCGGAGCGATGGGTCTGGGCAAACAACGTGGACACCAAAGGAAACACAAAGGGATCTACAAACTGCCGTTTGGAAGTGGGCAATGGGCATCTTGGGAGCTTTGATGTTCACTCGGATGCACTTCACAGAGCTTAACACATGTGCAGCATGAAGGAATCTCTTCCTCCCCTATTCAGGAAGAGCCCTTCTTCCAAAAAACTGGGAGACGGGGAGAACTTTTCTTATTAAAATTTAGGTTCTGAGAAATAGACTAAGTGACATTTGTCCCCACTGTTCCCACCCCCCACCCCCCAAACACAACAACGAAGCGGTCTGTGTGCTAACAACATAGCTTAAAAAAAAGTAAAACAAAATTCTGCATTGTTATAAAACTTGATAAAAAATAGTATTTCAAACTGTACAGTCACCAGAAGTACACAGTTATCAAAAATTCACACATTTTACTTGGCTTCACCAGCACCTTCGGCTTTCTGTGCCTGGAAGAGAAAGGGAACCAGTCAATACACACCGTGCACTCGCACCATCAGCTGGTGACTGGCTCTTCTAAAGAGCAGTTCTCTGGACAGAGGGAATCTTATCTGGCTGCACCACTCTGATCTTTAACGAAATGAAATCTAACATTCGAGGTACCCTAAAAAGGCAACGTGGAGTTGCTTTATTACAGCTTTTCAGAACAAGGCAGAACAGTCCTTTTCACGTAGCAATATCAATTGGCAAACAGACAGCTTTAACTCTTTACTCTCCAAGCAACACCCCTGCCTGTAGATGTGGTGTTGGTGTCAGAAGCAACAGGTCCAAATAATCAAGAGACCATTTCCTAGTGCAAGCAAAGACCTGTCTGTGTATGACAGCTGATGTGAGACCCGCTGTTATACCTGGTCTGTTTTGGCATCTCCATTTTCTGCAGGGTTGTTTCCCTCCTTGCCAGCATCACCCTTCCCCTTCTTTCCCTTGGGCAACTTCTCACTCTTCTGTAAAGGGAAGATGAGGTATGTCGTTACCATTATTGACAGGCACTGAGCCACAAGAGTCCAAAAACTACAATGGTAAAAACCCGGGATGTTGGCCTGAAAAGAACACAACACACAACTGCGTGTGTGTTTAAGAGACTGACAACTGCAAAGGGTCTTCCGTTTGGTATTTTTAATGCCAATTTGGTAAAATTCCAAAGTTTTCAGTGCAAGTTTCTAAAAGTGATGATGCAGCTCAATCCCATCACTATATATACTATGGTTTTATTAGTCATTGGACAAGTCTAATGCTCATAACCCATGTACCTCTCAGTAATCACACTGCCACACAACTTACCTTTGGAGCTGCCTTTTTAGGTTTAGGCTCTGGCTTGGGAGGAGCAGGCTTCTGTAAGTGAGAAAACCCCCTCGGATTAGTCAAGTTATTTTAAGAAAAACACACTACTTGTTTTTAAAACATTCAACCCAAATAGTTTAGTACTAGGAAAGCAAAACAAAACACTTTAACTTGAAGCACTTACTTGGTTTGTCAATTATTCTCCCGCTCCCACAGCACCACACAATGGGGCAGTTTGTTAAGCCAGTAACTTTCTTTCAACTGAACAGTGTGTCTCTCCAGAATACCTCACACAGATGCAGCACCTAGTACTGAGCTTAAATCTACTCAATGTTGGGACATCTCTGCTCAACAAGAGAATACTCACAGCAGATAACCTCGCTGATCTCCGTTGTGGCTGTTTGAAAAGGAAAATGATTGAATTTAATGTGGTGGAATATGAATTCTCGAGAACTTTTACAGTAAATCTCAGTTCAAAGTAGTAAAATCCCATATTTAAGTTTCTAGTTCCTTTTTTGCCCCCTGTTCTCAAGAAACAGGGAGACTGTCCCAGTTGAATCACTGCTAATAGCTGACAATAATAAGGTAGGTTTTTCACGGTTAAGGCTAAAAGAGAGTTAATCCTTTAAGGAATCAGAATCCACCAAGACCAAGCCTCCCCCTGTTCCTCACTTCTTTATTCCAACAAAGTCAAACTTCCTCTCCCAACATAAAACACTTTATGACCCAACTTTCCACCAATATTGGAACTTCTTACCTCATCCTTAACTTTGGCCTTATCGCCCTTGGTATCTCCTTCAGCCTAGGACGTGAACAGAAGTACCGACAAGTTCAGGGGAGGCTCTCTCAGCCCCGCACCGGCCGCGGTTTTTAACCCTCCCCATCCAAAAAGGAAACGTTTTCCGCCACCCGCTCCCGGAAGGTGCCAGGCC